ACTTGTTATTCATTGAAAAGTTCTGTTGCTTAGATAAGGAGTGCTTGAGGCTGCAAATAAAATATTTCAACTTATTCCCCTCCCAGTGCTGAACGATGAGCATTTCTCACTCCATCGTTACCTGCCATGTACATTAGTCCATACATCATAAAGGTACTAGTACAATTTAAAAAGTTTTTCTAGGATTTGGACCTTGCAGGTTATCTGTTGAGTTAATCTTGTGTGATGGATGTGAGACTTACTCCATCTCTTCCTGTGGGAAAAGATGGTGCCTGTTTTCATTCCTAATGTGTGGCTGAGGATTTGCTGTCCAATTGAAACAGAAAAATAGCGATGCAGGAAACCAAATGTGAAATTTTCTGTGTGTGAATTACTTTGCAGAGGAGAACCTCGCTCCCAGCTATAGCTGTAGATTAGAGTTATGATGGAGAATAAGTTTTGGCTCCTGAAAGAAAATATCACTAGCAGACAGTGAAGATTTTGCTGGAACAAACCTGCAGTGTACAAGATTAAGATGACAGAAGAGATCTTTCTTCCTAAGATATTTTCCTGTAGAATTCACTGCAACTAGCCACATGTATGCTTTAAAAGTAGAAAGTTTGGAATTCATTGGTCACTTTTTACTGTGTCATGTAATTTAATAACTCTCCATGACCCGTGCTTGATGGCACAAGCGAGTTACTCTGCTAGTGGCAACAGCATGGCCGAAGTAGGTTGTGGGGACATGGTTCTCCAGCCAGAAACTGAGGAGCACAGTGCTAAAGCAGGCTTATTCCGTATTCACACAAGGTAGTATGATGTATTGCTGCCCATGGATTGATCCTGAGAAACAATTGGATCTGTTCAAGCCATGCTTAATAACCAAAGTGAAACTTGAGAATGGGTCAAATCCTGGTTCTTTGTGAGCACCTGCAGAGTGTACTTATCCAGCAAGATTGTCTGGTTTTTGAAACAGCAACAAAAAAGGAAAGAGAGGAGAAGGTGTTTACTTATCCTTTGGGGAAGAGCTTTGCTAATACTTTCTCTTGCTCAGCATTATGGGTATTTGCAATGCAGTGTGTTCTGGAGAATTAAAGTAGGGCTACACTTGCATGGCCTAGCCCAGGGGATCTGTGTTTCCAGCTAATGTCTGTGTTCCCTGAGTTAACAGGATTTTTTTGAATCCCCAGTTCTGCCTTCCTCCTTCCCTCTTGCTGGACCCAAAGCCCTGTTTACTCTTCTGTAATGAAGTTGTTTTCATTCCTTCTTTCCAGTGACCAAGGGTGGTGTGTATTGTTTGTCAGGAATCCTACTGTGCTGCAAGGAACAGCGGATGTTCCCTCCTACATCTGTGCTGATGACAGTATTTTAATTGCTCTTCTTTTAGAATTTCTTCTGATCTTTTAAGTTATTATTATATATGATCATTAGACTCTTTTGTCTTTATATCATCTCACTGCAGCAAATTTTTCCAGTTTAATTATATGTTGTTTCAAAGATTTCTTTCTGTATAATTCACGGCAGGATGTGTATTATCGATACTGCTGGTTTTCTTTAACACACAGGATGGATGATTTAGTTTCTTGAGGACACTGTTTGGTTTATATAAGTGTGTTTCTATCCCACATAAGTCAGGGTGACATAAAGCTAAATCGGAAGTGGTTAAGTTGCAATGTTGGAAATTCAAAGCTTAGTCATGTAGGACTGTATTAGAACTTGTACACTGAAAGAGGCCACTCTGAAATTCCAGGGGCAGTCTTAGGTCGAATGTTTCCTGGCCCCTCAATTCTTGATTTCGTAAACTCAATGTTCTTCTAATGTTTTTAATTTTGACAGGATTTTGGGTTGGGGTTTTGTTTGTTTGTTTGATTGATTGATTGATTTTTTGTTTGTTTTTTTTTTTTGGCATCTGCCTCTTCTTCCCTGTTTTATATTTTGCTCTGGCCTCTTGGCCCAGCTGGTCCCAAATCTTTCCCAGTTCCTTGTCAAAGCCATTTCCCCTTCACGGGCATACTGATTCCTGCCATGTCTCCTGGTACAGCCAGTTCCCATCTCATCTTCTCCCTCTATGCTTTCTTTTAGCCAGTGTGAGCTACCTGCTCCTCCACACACTCCTGCATAGGGAAGTGGTTGACAGACACACTGGTAGTTGCTTTCTTCTTTCCCCTTAGTCTGATCCTCTGTTTCTTGACTCCCAGTCTCTGGTCACATATGCCTCTGTTCACTGTTAACCTCCAGCCACAGCCCTGTTTCCCCAGTGCGATTCTGGTTCTGTGGTCTGGCAGAGCTTTTGTTTCTTCTTCCTTTACTTCTGCTGGGAGTGCACCAACAAGCTCACTAGGGCCATGAGAAAGCAGCTTCCTTCACGTCCTCCACCCTTGGCCCACAGCCACCCACAGGCAATGAAGTGGGTCCTGTTGCTCTGTCACCAGGTCTTGTGAAATCCTGTCACAGGCAACTGTGTAGGGTTTAAGCATCTCTGTGTGAATGGGATCTGGCTGCTAAAAGTTCCAGCACATCTGTACTATGTGTATATAACTTTCTTCCATGGAAGAGTCAACATTTTTACTCGATTTGGTATAATTTCCACAGGGATAACTAACAGCTTTCTTCCTAGGAAGATTACTCCTGGGAGGTTAGAGGCCCACGTGGCCACTGATCTCTGAAAATGCTTCTGCCTTTATTTTTAGTGACCCATGTCTTTTCTTCTAGCTTTAGTTTTAGAAATTAATCAGCTGTATTCCTTGAGATGGGTTTCAGTGAATCCTAAATGTCATTTCATTGCAGTACTGCTAGCAGGCTGTGTTTTAAACTCAGACTAAACTGGGCATGAAACATGGCCTGAGCAGATAACAAAAAGATAGTCCTTGCCCTAGAGAAAATATGATTAAAATATAAAATATACTAATTCAATATAGATGAATAAGGAGAACAAGTTAAATTATACTTGCAAGCTCTTAGGCTGTTGGATCTTGCCTATAAAAGACTGGTATTGAAGCACAGAAGTTTTTTAATGAGTAACCCTTGCACTGTTTATTGGGAGTATGAGAAGTAACATGAGAGAAGGTAAAAGGGGTGCTTATTCAAAAGAATAACCCATGGGCAGTGGAGTCTGGCAGTATTTGTTGAGTGTCTATCAATCAGAGCTGACGTAAAGGTTGGACCAGATGAACCTTGAGGTCCCTTCCAACTTGGCATTCTATGAGTTCAGTATTGATTGAAAGGTGATATGTGAAAAGCCCTGAAAGTGCAAACAAGGAAACTTCACTTAATTGACCACAACAGAAACAGTCGGTGGAGGGGTGTACATCATCAAAAATGCCCCGATGTGCAGGGGCAGAACTGACTATGCACGTATCATTCCCAACAGCAGATGTCCAAAGTAGTCTCAGAGGCTTCCATTGCTGTGGTGCTGAATTCTTTCCAAAGCAGCCTATCACAAGCTTTACCAGTAAAAGGTCTTTATTAATGATTGTTCTGAGCCTCCCCTGCTACATTTTAAGTTCATTACCTGCTGTCATATACACCTTCAAGACAAAGCCAGCATGGGACTTCTAGGTCATGTTCAGCTATATATTCTATAAATCCTTTTCTGCTGAACTGCTGTTAGTCTCTCACTCTTCACCCTATATCTGTGCAGTGGATTATATCTGATTATATATAGAATTTTGCATTTTCTATGGAGTAGATTGCATTTATTCTTCATCTTTTTCTCACAGAATCAGTAATGAGAGAAGCTGATAATTTTTACTTAATGGATAAAAAAATACTTCTATTTACATACATATGCATTGGAGAGTAATCTATTGATTCATCGATTTGCAAGACCCTGTTAAGTGGTTTAAAGTAGTATTTAAGCTACAGATGCTTTTCCTGACAGCTGTGTACATGTGAAATAGAAGCAGCATTTTCAGGAAAGCCTTTATCACCTGCCCATTGAAGTAAATGTGAGGCTTTGCACTGATTTCAGATTAAAGATTCATTTTAAATCTATTAGCTCATACCCTAAACATGGGACAGTCCTCAAGAAGTGTTTTTCCCTTTATTTGTGTACATTGCATAACATGGACAAGCATTAGTCAGTGAAGACATTTTTTCCCTTTTAATGTCCCCCTTTATAGAGGGAAATGTTTTCATTATTTCAGCTTTTTTTTCTTTTCTTCCCAGAAAATATCTCTGCTCAGAATTTTTTGAAGGATTCAAAAGGGGATGTGCTAAATAAAAGCAGTGTGCAACAGTTTACAATAGACTGGAATGAAGTTTTTTGATCTTGGATGAATCAGTGGACTTCCCATTCTGTTGTTATTGCTAATGTCTAACCCTGACATTTATTTTAAAAAAAGCCTAAAGGAGTGAAACTATTAAACCTCTGAATGATTCTTCCTCCCTCATCCCTTAATCCACCCTTAATTCTTAAACCATTACTGCAGGAAGATAGACCTTTAACTCTTCAGAAGTCTTCCACTGTTTGGATTCAAAAAGTTTGGGGGAATCATTAAAAATTAACACTAAAATTATTGCAGTTAAGATGAGTGGACAGATTTCTATGATTAATAAGAGATGAATTCCATATTCAAATGGTGACCCTAAAAAGAACTGCGGAAAATGCTGCACTGTTACAACGAGTACAAGATCAAACAGGCTTTATAATAACAAATTAAATAAACTGTTATACAAATGATGTGCTTTTATGCCCCTTTCTGCACTCAACATATTTCTGGCTAAATAGGCTGCACTACAAGTATATCTCCTGTTTTCTTCCATGTCTGTACGTACACATACCTTTAGAGTTATGGGAATAGATATCTTAGTTGTTTTGAGTCTACTCTGCAGCTGTGGCCATGATGGAAAAGAAGTTTCCTTTTCTTATCTCCTGTCTGGTGTATTCTTTTTATGTCATTATTATTTTTACTACTGCTGCCACCAGAGTTTATATGCTGATTTTTAATTACAGTTTTTCTCTTCCCCAAAGGAATGTGGAAAGAGACAAAATAAATATAGGAAAGAACAAGAGGGTGGTCTAAAATCAGATGTTATGCAGTTTATTCATTTTGTTTCATAAAAATATAAATATATAGCCAAGGATTTGCCTCAGATGGGAGATATTCCAAAATAATACAGTATTAATGGCCACCACTGGTATTTCCACATATAAAAGATAGAAAGAATCTTTAGGTATTTCATGAGTAATTGTGTAACATTTTCTGGATCAAGAAAAAGTCAGATTTTAAAGAGGATGCTGGGTTGCTTTCCTTTTTTTGCAGCTTATCTACACTTTCTTTGTGGTACATTGTCTTGTACAATATTTATGTACTGAATGTATTTGAAAAGCACAAAATTGTTCAAATTTTCCATATGCTACTTTGAAAGTGTAAACCTCTTAAAAAATCATTAAAAATAATTGGAGCTATTCTATAATTGCTCAAATGCAGCTATCAGCTGAAGGTTAAACTCATATTTTCTATTTAATGCACACTATAATTTTATGTATAACTTTAGTGGTGGGATCATATTTGTCATCACAGATCAATGCAGTAAAATGTTTAGCCAGCTTATGGCTTTCTGTAAAGAAATGAGAGTTCTGATATCTGTCAAAGAGTTTTTTTTCAGGTCACTGAAAACTGATGACAGATCATTTGGTATAAAATTCCAATCATATAATGTTATACATTTGGATGGATACCATAGAAAAAGAAAAGCAAATTGAGGACAAATAAGAAGCCAAGTGATTTACTTTAATAAATAATTACCTTATTCTGTAAATGCCAGACCAGTGCAATTCATAATAATTTTTAATGCCACTTGAAATAAGTTGTAATAGCAAAATGAAAATGAAACTGACAACCATTAGGTTAAATTACTTCTGATTGGAAACATGTTGAAATGTGAGGACTTCTTTGAATGATACTCAGCTCAAAGGAAATCCACAAGGAATAAACTGTGAAAAAACTTTTGAAGCCTTATGCCTGAAGTATTTCCCAGCAAAGACATAAATCACAGGGTTAATGCAGCTGTTGGTGATAGCCAGAGTGTAACCAAACTGCTCACCAAAGTTGAGCAGTTCCCCTCAGAAGCACCCTTTGATCACTTCTGTCTGGTATAATATATCAAGGAATACAAAAAAATGGTAAGGAGTCCAGCACAGAAGAAACATTAATACCACTGTGAAGATCAGCCTGGTAGCCTTTGTTCTCCTTGCAGCTCTTTGTTCTGAGTGCTCTGTGTTCCCTTGCCTTTTTTTTTAGGAAGTGTATGGTAGAGAAATTAAAGAAGATAACGGCTGTAAATGGCAACAAAGACCCCACGATGTTGACTATCAGCCTTTCAGTTGTTACCCACAATGGGGCAGGGAAGTCTAAAGTGCATGCTGAAATATTCCACAGGGGAAAGTGTTTCACAGTCTGAAACATAAAGGTTGGGATGCTGAGAAGGCTGTCAAAGAACCAGGCAGGCAAGCAGATCCCTTTGGCTGTAGTTTTTCTCCATATCACTCTGTTGTCCAAGGTGTGAACAAAAGTCAAATAGCGATCCACGCTGACTGCCACCAGCAAGTAGATGCTGGGGTACATGTTCAGGCTGATGGATGTGTTGGTGCTGCAGCAAAGGAAACTGCCAAATGGCCACTTAAATTCATTCCTGATATTCTCTGCCCAGAAAGGGAGACATGTGGGGAAGATAGGATCAGCAGCAGCTAGGTTCATAAATTAGGTTTCAGCTATCTTCAGGGAACCCTTGTGCAGTGAATAAGTGAATAGAACAAATGCATTTCCAAGAATTCCAATAACAGTCTCAATATATTTGGGTACTATATACTACACTATTTCCCACAAGCCATTCAAGTCCAGGCAAATAGTTGAGTTGCTCTTGGTTTCACTCTGATTTGAGGAGGAAACACTCAGTAGAGAAGTTTCAGGCATTTTAAAAAAAATTCTGAAGTGAATGGGAGATGTCTTTGAAATGAGAGGAACGGACCTCAAAAAAGAAACATAACATTTAAAAGTCTTCCATCAATGGTATAACAAACATTTAACTTCTGGAAGTGCCCATTGATCATTACAGGCTAGATCAATCCATGCTTTGTATGTGCAACGGTGAGAAATGTTTGCATATTGGCAAGCTTTGAACTTCCTCTAAATTCTATGGAATTTCCTCTCTTTGCTGCCATTGTTTAAAGTGACACGAAAGAATGAAAGTGCCAATTTAGTGTAAGTAGTTCTGTGTCTCCTCTAGACTGATGGCAGAAACAGATATAGCCAAATTCCAGCTCCCTGAGAGTAGTAGGAATCATGCTGGTGACATAAAGCTAGCTGTGCACCCTTCCCTGCCCTTTCTCTTACTCTTATTTTCCATATTATGTATAAATTTAGCAGGATGATGCCCACTTCCCCAGCACCAGGAATGCTACCTACTCACTGTGTGAATCACTCATTTGTTTAACTTTTCATTCTTTTGCTCCCTCTCAGTTTCTCCTATCCTGAACTTTGGGTTAACAGTATTGCTGTTAGATTAGACAGCTTATTGCCCTCAAATGTCAGCAATTATAATAATAAAGCATTGACTCCTCCAAGACCTTATGCTGAAGATCTTGGCTGGAGAGAGGGTTTCTACAGGTCCAAATTCACAACACTCCTCTCCAGTTCAAAATTTCATTTGAGCGCAGGTGGAGGGAGGCAGCCCCAGCCTCCAAAGCATTTAGTCTTTTGTAGCATTAGTAGTGCCTTTATTTCTCTCTGGTAAGTCTGTGTGAGGTAGTGCAGGAATGAGAACATAGGTAAAATGTTGTTTTCCATTGAAAATCTGCTGGGTTGCCAGAGCTGCCTCCTCTGGTGACTATTCTAGTGGTGGTGGTGTGCTTGATAATACTGCCTGCATCTTGTTTTTTGCAGGGAGTCAGTCTCGGAGTCATTATGGTAGACAAGACATTGCTGAGTCTATGATTATATCAAACATTTCAGTACTTAATGTTTAAGTGGAGCATGTCAGTCATAAAGAAGAATGCATTAAAAAAAAAAATAAATCAGTATTTTGCAATCAGTCATCCTGAATGTTAATTTTCTGTTCCAGCTATTTCACTCTGCTCTTTAAGTTTCTGTATTTTTACACCCAGAAGATAACTAAGGATGGAGTTTCTGAGGAAAGCATCATTCATCTCTTACATATACGTACAACATTAGTGATGTCTATACCTCAGCCACTTGCAATATTTCTGTCTGCGATGCCTCTGGGTATTGGTTAAGTGCTAATATTCCACATCACACAATTTGGTACTTAATGCACAGAACATTTTCTATCATTGTGGAATTAGGAGAGCAGCAGTTTTATCTGAGTTCATAAACTCACTCAAGCTGGCAGTCTTGTCAGGGAATTGGGCTACAACTCAACACAGCTCTCTGGCTTTGGACATCTTCCCTCACAACAGTCTGAATGTTATCTCTTTCACTGATAGTCTCGTGCAAACTAAGATAACTTGAGAGGATATAAAACTAAAAAGACAGCAGGAATCTAACCCTTTTGTAGCAGGTTTTTGGCTAAGAGTAATGGAAGAAAATCTGTAATGTTCTATGTAAAAAATAATGGAGAAGATACGTAACAGTTAAATATTTCCTTTTGTAAACAGAATCATTGCTTTTACTAAATACAGAGGAAAAAAAAGTGTTTATTTTCCTTGCTTATGATCTCTGGGCTGGAGCCATGGATTCATTCATGATGAGCTAAACTAAAAAACCTCAGGAACATTTACTTTCCAGTGCAACTTTCAGATTTTAACTGCAGCTAACTATGACCTCCTCGTCAGCTAGCAATTGTACATGAAGTGTCTGTAGAGTTAGTCATAGAAAAGTTTCTCCAGAGCCTGCTAGCTAATGTCTGAGCACTACCACAAGCCTTTTATAAACTTGGAGGTCCAGATGTCCTCTTGGCAGGAAACACAATTCATATTCAGCTGTATAATTTCATTTCCTCTTCAAAGGGAAATTTTTTCTGTAGGTATTTTTAAGAATGTAGTGCTAATGGGCAATTAACCACATGAGCAATTCCTAATTTATGTACTTAACACATTTCAGTCACCTTTTATTCAAATAATGATGTATTTTTACTGCTTTGAACACATTTCTGCTTAATTTCAATATACAGTGAATCTATGACCGTTATTACTATTAATATATATTAACCAGTTAGGATCATGTGTTCTGGAAACACTAAATAAATACAATTTGAGCTTAGGGAACAATCTTGAATGTAGATTACATTGAAAGTGAAAATCCCATAAACAGCTCAGCAATTTTGGCTGGAAAGAAATTTTATAAAATAGACATGTTTTTATGTATAAAGAGAACTAATCATGACTCCCAGAGTTAGTTTCATGGTGAAAAAGAAAGGGAAACTCTTAGTAGACTGCACAGATCAGAACTGAGAGCATGAAAGATATTTTTTATACATAAAAAGGATATGAAATGATTGTAATAAAGGTAAGATAAACACCAGATAGGCACACCTAATCCTTGTGCTTCCTGGTGATTTAGGTAAAGTTTTAAATTCAGGAACAGTTGGTAAAGAACAGTAGAGAGATTACTGAGAGAATTCAAAGATCCATTCTGAGGCACGACTGAGTGTTCTCTGTGTGGTTTGTTGGCCATATACAGTGTGTGTGATGTTACATTTTGGAAGAGAGCCCCAGGATGTATTTTTTTTTTCACTTTTCCAAATGTTGGCTTTAGTAATTTTCAAGGCATGTGAAATACCATTCTCATTGTGAAATCTTAAAAGCCATATACTGCGATGCTTGTTCTCCTGTGACCACGAAATAAGGTTCTCAAGTACAGGTCCTTGTCAAATAAAAGTTCCTTTGTATGATTAACTATGTCTGTAATAAAAACAATCTCATGAACAGCTCTCTCAGTGCCAATGCACCCAAAGACAAACTTTGAACTAGGTTTTTGTTGTGGTGGAAGCTGCTTTCTCTTCCAGCATGGGGGAGCACCATGCCAAGGAGCTGGGGTTAGAGCACAACAGGTATATGGGAAGGGCCACTGAAACATGGATCCACTACATCCTGTTTCCACTGTTTCTGAAAAGCAATGTCTTTTGCACCCCACGGTAGGTGTCTAGGGCATGCATCTCTGTGAACATCACTTCTCAGTAGCACATGTTAACTGCTGTATTTTCTCAGGCTTGCACCCATAAATAATCTTTTTATCTGATTCCCTGCTGAGATCTTGTAGGCTAAGGCTGGTTGTTTATAAATTATTCTTACCTTTTTTTAATTTTGATTGTCTTCTGATTAGAGCAATTTAAAAAAAAAAATCACATCTGATGCATCTCATTTTCAATACTAATCTCTCCAGTATATTTGTGTGAACAGTGGGGTTTTCAACTTCTTTTAAAATAATAGTGACAAATTAACAAGGGAATGGAATGTCATTTGCTCATATGAAAACATTCTTCCTATTGGCTACCTACTGAACACATGCACCATCTCTGAATTCTTATTCAACTGTGTCTTTTCTTGTTTGGTAAGTGAGTTAAAATGAAAAGCCATGTGAGGCTGCACCAGTGATATCTTAATATGAATTCCCCTATCATCATGATAAATAGTTTTATTCTAACTTCTTATTTGTTAAAAAGATACAAAGAGTTATGCAAACACTGGTAAAACTGACAAATTGAAAAAACCTGTTCTGTTTAACACCAGCACACTGGAGAAAACTCTAAAGAATTCAGCATTTAATTTTAAAACTTGAAATGTGTAAATTTTTTTTTTTGTAAACAGCATCCTACTTAAGCATTTACTTATTTTATTAAACAACTGTAATATTATAAAAAAACACCTCTCAAATGAAGCTATCTGCTTTATTTTTGTCAAAATGATATTTTTTAACATCTTGATCCAAACTTTTATTTTGGTGAAGACCTGAAAGATATCTTTTGAATTAGATGTTGTCTATGGAACCCTAATAGCCTATAGGAGATTAGTCTTGAAACAGCACATCCCATGCTGACTCATTAAGGTAAGTGCAATGCAACAGGAGATCTTCATCAAACACTTTCCAAAACTTCCTCTTTGCTAACGCCAGCGCATTTCTGAGTTTAAATTATTTTTTCCATAAAGAAGGACATTTGAGCAATAACAAAGAGTCTGGAAATCATCCTTGTTTGGACATCAGTCTCTAGGAGCTGCCAACATCCACATTTACTCAGATCTCTGAATGAAAACTGCAGCTGCATCTCAGTCTTACAAAACTCATCACTTCAAAATGGGATCAAAATATTGATTTGCAAATCCAGCTTCTCTTTGTAAACTTATTTTCTTATTTTCAGTTGTTTTTCATTGTCATCTTTAGAACTTTATTTAGTAGTGGAGGGAGATTCAGAATTGGGAGTCTATGTATTTGGTGCAAACAATGAAAGGGGTAGGCACTGCTGTAGCTCCAGCCCCTAAACAACTTAGAACAACTCCAACATAAGAAGCTGTAACTTTATACAAAAAGGGATTTAACTTATTATTTCTTTGCAACTAGGGTCTTCATTTAAACCTGTAGAAAGAAATAATAATTCGTTAACATTTTACAGTTTAGATGTAATGGACCACAAATCAAAGGAATTTGAAGGGTTAGTTAAAAACAACTTATATAGGAGTCAACAGTTCAAAGGTTTTTGCAGTGTATACGTAATTAAAACATAATTGTCTATTGGTGACTTCTACTTGGGATACTCACAGCACATTAGTTTATGTTATGATATTCAGCCACTATGTCTACGTTAACTTTCCTGCAAAAAGTACGCATTCTCTAGAGCTGCATAGGAATTTACAAATGCTAACTGGGCTGCTATGATCAGAAAGATTAAACAGGTATCTTGATGAACGCAGGGGTGAGACTTCTCAATTACTGCACAAATTATGTGGTAGACAAATGGCAGAAATCAAAAAGGTCTCCAGAGTTATGGCTCTTGGTCCAACAGTTCAGTCATTAAAAATCTTTCTCTTAACATAGCTGGAGAATTTAATGATCAGAACTAATTAATTTTTTGGAACAGTATGATTTATGAGTTTGATTTTCTTTATTGAAATGCTTTGCAAATCAACACAGTTATCTGTTGTTGCTGTTCATCTATTTTGGAACAGGAGAAATGTTATTGATGTGACCTTGTGCTGTAAAATTCTTCATTCAGCTTGCCTGGATTTCTTTACTCAATCACCTATACTATAGACAGTGATTACTACAGAGAGCTTAAACTCTCATGCAGTGATTTACAGTTCTTAAAAAGTGATTCTGGTAGCATTGTACTGCAGTAAAATAATCAAGCCCTACTAACTACAGTTTGTAGTGGCTGAAACAGCACAATACAGAAGGAGCCAATTTAGGATGAAACCCCACAATGTACTGACGGAAGACTGGAGTCAAAGGACAATTCAATGGCCAAAGTACTGTTTGGAGATTTGGAAGACCTGAACTGAGATCCTGACTTCTCCACATAAACCCTTCCTAGAAAAGAGCAACCTTGTCCAATCCACAAGAAAAGCCAGCTGTTTTTGCTAAAAGCTATTAAGACCATTAATTTTGCATTTCAAGTGAGGCCAATAATCAACCTAAAAAAAAAAACCAGACAGTGAAAAGATGAGAATTATGCCTTCCAGTACCTACTTGCAGGCCAGAAATATCAACTGTCTTGATATCCTTGCTGTTTCTCTGGAGATGGCTCCTCAGGCAGTGGTCCCTAGCCACCTCCATCTGACTGAATGCAGAGTCCAAGATTTGCAAGGCCAAAGCATCTATGAAAGAAGTGGCAGCCTTGGGTAAAAGGGAAAAAGGGAGGGGTAAAGAGGAATAAAAAGGTGGTGTGATTACAGTTTGACATCTGCAGCTCTGCGATGCTCAGGAGAAAGTCTCCCTTCATTTTACCAAGAACCCTTCTCATAGAATCATAGAATAGTTAGGGTTGGAAAGCACCTTAAGATCATCTAGTTCCAATCCCCCTGCCATGGGCAGGGACACCTCCCACTAACCATGCTGCCCAAGGCTCTGTCCAAACTGGCCTTGAACACTGCCAGGGATGGAGCATTCACCACTTCCCTGTACAACCCATTCCAGTGCCTCACCACCCTCACAGTAAAGAACTTCTTCCTTATATTCAATCTAAACTTCCCCTGTTTAAGTTTTAACCCATTACCCTTTGTCCTATCACTACAGTCCCTAATGAAGAGTCCCTCCCCAGCATCCCTGTGGGCCCCTTTCAGATACTGGAAGGCTGCTATGAGGTCTCCTGGCAGCCTTCTCTTCTCCAGGCTGAACAGCCCCAACTTCCTCAGCCTATCTTCATACGGGAGGTGCTGCAGTCCCTTGATCATCCTCGTGGCCCTCCTCTGGGCTTGTTCCAACAGTTCCATGTCCTTTTTATGCGTATCAACCAAACCACACAGCTTGGTGTCATCGGCAAACTTGCTGAGGGTGCACTCAATCCCACTGGGCATGTCACCGACAAAGATGTAGAACAAGACCAATCCCTGAGGGACACCACTCGTTACTGGTCTCCAGTTGGACACTGAGCCATTGACCACAACTCTTTGCATGCGGCCATCCAGCCAGTTCTTTATCCACTGAATGGTCCACCTATCAAATTAATGTCTCTCCAATTTAGATACAAGGGTGTCATGTGGGACAGTGTCGAACGCTTTGCACAAGTCCAGGCAGATGACATCAACTGCTCTACCCCTGTCCATCAGTTCCGTAGCCCCATCATAGAAGGCCACCAAATTGGTCAGGCAGGATTTCCCCTTAGTGAAGCCATGCTGGCTGTCACCAAGCACCTGGTTGTTTTTCATGTGCCTTGTACTGTCTACTCTTTCATATGGGTCTAAATCATGGGTCATCTACCGCCATCACCTTCGACTCCTCGAACGCTTTCATCAGCACTGCCTCTGTATAATTCTAAACATCCATTGGACTGACTATGTGTCAAATGTTACTGTTCTCAAACAGGTAGGGGTCACCAGTATCGAGGCCATATTGATGAAATTGCAGCTGTGCTGGGCAGGGCACGTCTCTAGGATGAAGGATCACTGCTTCCCTAAGATGGTGTTTTACGGTGAAATTGCCTTCAGCTGCCGCAAGAGAAGTGCCCCAAAGAAGAGATATAAGGACTCCCTGAAACAATACCTGAGTCTTGGCCATATTGACTACCATCAGTGGTCCACCTTGGTCTCCAGTCGGGAGCCTTGGAGACACACCATACATAATGCTGTTGACTCCTTTGAGAACTCACGCAGAACTAGTCTTGAGGAGATAAGACAACATAGAAAGAATTGCACCCCGCCTATACCACCCAAGGAGACCTTTTGCTGTGCTTTTTGCAGCCGGATTTGCCTATCTCACATTGGCCTTTTTAGTCATCGGCACTTCCCAAATCTTCATTCGCGAAGTCAAGCCATGAGCATACCTTCCAGAAAAATCTGCTCCAAGATTTTGCCAGGCATGGAGGTGAGACTGACTGCTCTGTAATTCCCCAGGTCATTCATTTTCCCCTTCTTGAAAATGGGGGTTATATTTCCCTATTTCCAGACATCGGGAACTTCACCTGACTGACACAACTTTCCAAATACGATGGACAGTGGTTTAGCAACTTCATTTGCCAGCTCCTTCAGGACCCGTGGATGGATTTCATCAGGTCCCATGGACTTGTGTACATTCAGGTTCTTAAGATGGTCTCAAACCAGATCCTCTCCTCTAGTGGGCCTAGGGTTATCATTCTCACAGTCCCTGCGTCTGCCTTCCAAGACTTGGGTGGTGTGGTCAGAGCATTTGCCAGTGAAGACCGCGGCAAAGAAGTCATTGAGAACCTCAGCCTTCTCCAAATACAGGGTAGCCAGTTCTCCTGAGAGCTTCGGGAGGGGGCCCACGTTGTCCCTAGTCTGTCTTTTATTCACTGTGTACCTATAGAATCCCTTCCTGTTATCTTTAACATCCCCAGCCAAGTTTAATTCTAACTGGGCCTTAGCTTTCCTAACCTGGTCCCTAGCTTCCCGAATGACAACCCTGTACTCTTCCCAGGCCGCCTGTCCTTGCTTTCACCTTTTATAAGCCTCTTTTTCCCTTCGAATTTTCCTCAGCAGCTCCTTATCCATCCAAGGAGGTCTCCTGGCCCTCCTGCTGCACTTTCTTCTACTTGGGATGCAACACTCCTGAGCTTGCAGCAGGTGACCCTTGAATGTCAACCAACAGCCTTGGGCCCCCCTGACCTCTAGGGCTATATCCCATG